TACTTGTAACAGGATTCTCTATTTTCACACTACAGATTCAAACGAGCATATCTAGAGCTACAAATATTAACATCATGCTATTCAAAAGCTCAAAATTATCTACACATCCAGGAATACAACTTTTATGAAGGATGTCAAGTCATATAAAATTGTTTTGAAGGCAAGCGTTTAAGCACAAGGTTAAAGGACAAGATTGGTCTCTTCATCTGATGAAGAAAGTAACAATGGGGAGCATCGCATTATGATTGAGGGTCTAATATAGAAACGATGGGTCTTAGGACCCAAAAAAAGTACAAATTAAGTCTCTAACATATCATGAATGAAAGAATATAGCTGGAATGACCGGATATTACATTAAACCAAATCAAAAAACAAAGTCTAAGTAGCAGTAGAGTCTAAATTACAGCAGAGTTATTACAGTAGTAGAGTCAGTTCTCAACATAAATTCTGAGGAATTTAACCAATCTTAATAACCAGATAAAGAAGAAGGAATAAGTAATGTTAAGGACTCTTGATCAAGAGAAGAATCCTAACAAAAGATAGCAACTGAGGGAGGGGATATAGTAAGCAAATCACATCAGAAACAACTCTCTTCTTTTTCTCTACAACGTGTTTTTCTCTTTATTTGTTAATTTTCCAACAGCTATGAATTAATCTTTGGCTTTCGGTTCAAGGGGAATAGACACCATCCCTATTATTAAGTTGAGAGAAGTAATGTTATCATTGTAATTCTTTCATATTCAAGTACTTATTTATCCTTATTTTATAATTATGATACTAATTTCTGTTCATGCTTATTGAATTTTTTTAAGATGGTATCTATGTGCTTTCTAGTTTGTTTTAATTCGTAATTGTTGTCGGGACTAAATGAGATGGTATATATGTGCTTTCTAGTTTCTTTTAATTCGTAATTTTTGTCGGGACTAAAATAAAAAGCAAAAAAGTTAACTTGATTGCTATAACTATCACTTTGATTTGTTAGGGAGGATTAAGCTAATTTAAATTGCTCAAGCTTTTAAATTGTTGCTTAGAATAAATTTTATAGACTTTTTTTCTAAGACTACTACCTAGTGAATTAAAATTACTTTTCAATATTAAATTCACTTGATAGTAAAATATTGATTAGAAAGCTATATCTTATTAATTTACTCATGATCTCCTTGATTCGCCTTAGCTTTAAAGGACACTAAATTCATTTTCTTGAATTGAAATTATATTTATTTTACTTCGATCATAAATAAATTTATAGGAATTGATGTATAAATCTTTAAACTAAGTTAGCAACATATCAAATTATTATTTTTATTTTTAGAATTTTGTTTCTTTAATTTTTTATTCAAATCTCTTTTTTTTTTTTGTTTCTTTAATTTTTTATTCAAATCTCATATTTTTTTTATTTCATTATATTGTAGGAAGATTAAATGAAATTTTCCTTGTATTTGACCTGGTTTTCACGGTCATGCTATAAATTTATTTTGATTGTGAAAGTAAAGTTGCTCTTAGATAATCATCGAGAGTATATTGAAAAAAGTCATAAAGCCAATAGCCAAAACAAAATATAGGGACATGACAAAAAAAAAAAAAAACAAACTTGGAAAAGAAAAATCTACTACAACAAAAACAAAGAGACTACCTAAAATTTCTTATTAAACCATAATTTGATGACCTCAAAAGATTTTAAGAGGTCATTTTATATATAAGTGAAGTTTGAATACAGAATATACAATCAAATAACAACCCCACAAAGAATAGAGAAGAAACAATCAAATAAATTTATAGTTTACTTCTAAAAACAATTTTGTTTCTCTAAAACCAAATATTCCAAGTATTTCTATTAGAGATTAGTCTCCAAGCTGATATTTGTAATTTGCCTTGTACCTTTTTAGATCACTGTAGAGTAACGAATCTAGTATGCTTAGTGAATAATTTTGGATACTCTATCCATCCACAACTTTCATCCAAATATTCAGAAAATTGAAATTATATTTTGGTGTTTTCAACAAAGAACCAAGAGGCATTTTCATTGTCTCAGGCCCGGGCACTATATGGATCTCAAATGGCAATGGAGAACATCCATTCTGGTAGAGCTTTTTGAGTGAAGTTGGTTGGCTTTTTCTCTTATGGTGCATTGCAAATGTCTTGATTTGGGAAATTTTTGCTTCTCACCTTCAGAGATGTATAGTTTTCTTTTGGAGACGTACATTAAGGACTCAAGGGAGAAGCGCAGGTTGTTCAATACTACTGAAACCATTCCTTGTGTTGCTTATAAGGCAGAGTGGACACTGAATTGGATTCAGAGGAGTACAACATTCTTTTCAAATTCTTTTAAACAGTACATAAAAACTTTGCTAAGAGGATTAGAACTACTGTCTGAGCCTTTGTTCCAGTTGGAACACATCCTTTTAATGATTTCTCACTCTTCACCATTTTAAGTTCCAAGATTTTTGCAGAGAGACGTCTTTTTTCTCAGGAAGGTAACATTCTTTAAATACAACAACAAAAGACTGTTATATGTTATTTGTGAAATTTGATCTTTTTTTCTTCTTTTTTCCTCGTATTGCATTCATATATATATATATATAATACTTGAGCCACTGTTAGATGTACAGATCTTCTAGTGTTTCTAATATACTGACTGCTATCTTCACCAAGGAATCTGAAATTCCATGTACACTTCTAATGTATATACAGTGTGCTGGTCCCAGTAATTCAGAATAGCAGATCACTCTTGCACAGACTTAATAAAGCATGGCATCAAAGGAAGTGATGCTCTGTGAGTATGGAACTGAAATTCAATTTGTGGAAGAATAGAAGACTGTTCAGTGTGTCAAGCATGCAGATGGCCTAACATTCCACTCGCAGTGGTGCAAGGATGGTGTTCTTTAACACACCAGAACAGGCACCAAGGTTTTTAATTACAGGTCAGACATTCGAACACGGTTTCGAAGTACAGATCTATTTATATTCAATGATGCAAAGTGTCTATGATATTGTGGGAAAAGAAATTTAAATCTATTAATTCCAACTGTAACAGCAATAAGAAAGACTGAACAACCCAGTTTGTTGTGCAAGCTTTGCCCATTGTTAGCATACACCCAGGGTAGAAAGATATCTTTGTTCATAAATTACTACTAGTAGTTGATTAACACCTGTTCAAGGAGACAAATGTTAAGATAAACAAATCACTGAACAAGTGCAAGTGTACGAAAATTCCATGTACGCCGTCAAAGTGGACTTCAAACAAGTGTTGAGAAGTGTTAAACATGTTCACATTCTGACAATGGAGGGTGGATCAGGGCAGTGTGTTTTTTTATTTTGATCCCTTAACTTTTGTTTTCATCAACTGAGTTTTTTAATTGCAAAGTTAATAGCCAATTACTCGGTATTTGTTGGCTAGGGTTAAATTTGAAAGGAGGACCAACATAGAAAAGACATTAAAAATAGATGGTATGTTTAAAGTTGGCGTGAAAAGTACATCTTGTATTCTTTTGTATATAGACAGAAACTGACAGTCCTCCACGGTACCAACACCCCCTCCACAGAAACAGAAACCCAAAACACGTGTTCCTTTCTATAATAGGTAAGATTACCATGGGAGAGGTACTAGGAATTTAAGAAACCTTTCAAAAACCGTGTCTCGTTACCTTTGCAATTCATGCCATGCTTTTCAAAAACCTTGTCTTGCTACCTTTACAATGCCTATATATAGGGTTCCCGCTTCAACCATTTCCAGTGAACAATACATACTGGATTCTCATATAGCGAGTGACACGCATAAACATACAGATACGTTGAGCCGTGCGAGTATAATCTGGAAATATGGCAAGCCCAAGAGTGTTAGGGACTACTTTCCTCGTCTTGCTTATTTTAGACCTCACCTTTGCTGCTAGGACACTGAAGTCAATCAGTGGAGGTGGAGGTGGAGGGCAGGGAGGAGGAGGTGGGGGGGGTTCTGGAACAGGACTCGGGTCAGGTTCTGGTTCTGGGTCTGGATATGGGAGCGGTGAAGGATATGGTGCTGGTGGTCATGGAGGAGGTGGAGGCAGAGGCGGAGGCGGGGGCGGGGGAGGTGGCAGTGGTGGAGGCAAAGGGTCAGGTTCTGGCTATGGGTCTGGTAGCGGCTCAGGCTATGGTTCCGGTGGTGGGATAGGTGGCGGCAGAGGTGGTGGTGGCGGTGGAGGCAGTGGAGGTGGTGGTGGTGGAGGTCATGGCTCCGGATCAGGAAGTGGGTCAGGCTATGGTAGTGGAAGTGGAAGTGGAAGCGGTGGTGGCAAGGGTGGGCATGGAAGTGGAGGAGGAGGAGGAGAAGGAGGTGGTGGGGGTGGAGGAGGAGGATCTGGCTCTGGCTCTGGCTCAGGTTATGGTAGCGGGTCTGGTTATGGCTCTGGATATGGAGGAGGGAAAGGTAATTAAGGCTTGCCATGAACACAGAGGATACCTTTTCTTTTGTATTCTGAAATAAAATTGCAGGAGCTCACACATGCATGCACATAGCATGTTGGCGAGCAACTGCAACTGTGCATGTATGTCTACATTATAAATCTCTTAATAAAGATCACTTTTTAGAGCACATTTTACTATCTCTATGCAAACCCTAATAAAAAATGGATATATCATTTCCATAAAAACGGGATTTCATCACAAAAAAGAACTTCGAATAAAATTAAAAGAAATGAGCTTGAATTTTTGAAAATTGAAAATTTTCTCCCACAACCTAAGACTTGAAGTGTTGACTTTGCATGCAGTAAAAAAACCATGTCACAAGTGAAAATAGCTGACGACCGCCAGAAAGATTGCCTCTGTAAAAGTCTGACCTGGTCAATGGAGTCCAGTCATCTGCGGTATTGAAAACTACTTAACTCTCTCGACCGCAATGCCACCCAGAGTTTTCTGATGCCTCACCAAAGACGGCCACAGGGCCTTTAGAAGCCGCAAGTGAATTTTATGTCCAAAGGACCACCAGTAGGTCCGCTCCACAAATATTCTGAAAAGCTATAATTATTTCAAGGAAACTATCGGCATTTGCTATTAATATTATGGGAGAAGAGAGAGAGAGGGAGAGGATATATATGTTTCAAAGCACAAGTACTACTCTTGTAAGTGGTAAAGATAATTCAGAATAGCAGATCCCCAACAACCAAAAAAGTTAAATGCACTTATTGCACTCCTACATAGACTTATTAAAGTATGGCATCAAATCAAGGAAGTGATAATATGTGCATGCATGGAACTGAAATTCAATTTGTGCAAGGATAGAAGACAGTTCAATATATCAACCATGCATGCAGATGATGGTGCATGTGCTGTCATACACCACATCAATTTAAAACTTAAGCTTATGCAGGACAAAAATAATTAAAACATAAAAGTATCAGAAATAAGAAGCTAAGAAGAATAAACCAAAACACAAAAAGCCCAAGTATGGGGGTCCTGAATTTTATTCAGTACACCAAAAAGTGAATGAGTGTGTGAGTGAGTAGCCTGTAATTAAATAATTATCACCCCTTTCGTTCGTCTAAATCGTTGACTTATTCGAAATCTGAAAGGATCGTCATTCTTCAACTCAATTAGAAAAATGAATATCATAAACGGATTCTTGATCAGCAATTAATTTTTTTTTCCTGCTCCACGTTATCTTATTGGCCACTCAAAGTACACATGAAATACTGGCCATGGATTGTCATGCAAGAAAGCCATCATCATCATTACAGGAATCTTTAATATATTATTCAAGCCGGCGTCTCTGACTAACTGAACTTGTATTTAAAAATCTGCTGCCTGGATCTGTGACCAGTTGAGGTTATAAGTACGGTTTTTCCCATAATCTGATGAACCACAAACATGGCTGCAGAACAATTAGATGCACTACTATTTCTGACCCTGGTTTTAATGTTTGTAAATGCATCAGCTATTCCATCAAACAGATTAAAGTCTTTGAATATCATCAAAGAAGTGAACAGAAAAGGGCCTTACGTTGGTCTAATTACTGTTTATCCACCGGAGGAGAATGCCTTTTTTGCATCTAAGGCCTTCAAGCCTAATGGGAAGCATCCTTTTGTGGATCTCTCAGGTGATGTCTGTGATGCGATCTCATTGGACATTAGATGCCTGTAGACAGGCGAGCTCTTCAAGCTTGCATAGCAAATTAATTGTGGTTGTTTGTTGCAGGACGACGGTTCCGGGTCGGAAAGGTTCAGGGTAAGAAAGTTATCTACGTGAGATGTGGGGTTGGAATGGTAAGCAAAGATACTAATTACTTCTGAATTCTGATGCATATATTCTAGATGAAAACTTCTGTGGCTGATATGTCCAAATGGCATCATAGAGCTTCTTAAATCTTATTAGGGGAAACCAAGTTAGTCATAACACGAACCACTTGTCCTTGAAATCATTCCAGTTTAAATTCACACAGATCAGTGGGTAATAAAAGATTTTCCTATCTTTTTCACATAATCTGATGTAGGGTCCTAGAAGGGGAGATTTTAAATATGATCAGGAAATGCCATTCTTCCTGTAACATGAATTTTCAAGCTTATTTAATCAAGGTTTTTTTTATTTTGGCTCTTTTAGGTCAATGCAGCTGCAGCAACACAACAAATGCTGGACATGTTTGATATAACAGGAATAGTCCATTTTGGCATTGCTGGAAACGTAAACAATTCCATGTCCATTGGAGATGTTACGATCCCGGAACAGTTTGCTCACACTGGCATTTGGGATTGGCTGGTACAAATTCGTCAATGCCTGTCATCTCTTCTCCATCTTTTTCTTGTTATTTTGTTCTTTATAAAAGAAGTATACACTTGACAGAATCCTAAAGGACCATTGCCCACCAATGATATTGCTGAATTGGACTTTGGAAGCTACAACGTACCAAAAGGAGATGGGATGAATCTGTTGGGAAAGATTGGATATAGTTATGAGCAGTTCTTTTCTGAGTCAGGGAAGCCTAATACTGCCATACCATTATTTTGGGCACAAATAAGCGAACAATGGCTTCAGCTTGCCGCTGGCTTGGAGGTTAATTATCTTGATTTGTGAATGTTGCTTCCTTTTCTATATATATATATATATATATATATATATTTTCCAGTTTTGATGAATTTTTCAATCCTGATATACTCCAGGGGATGGAACTGGAAAGGTGTGTGAATTCAAGTGTGTGCCTTGCTCGAAAGCCTAAGCTAGTCGTTGGCCTCAGGGGTTCAACAGCCAATATTTTTGTGGACAACGCAGCTTACAGGGATTTCCTTTATCAAACTTATGCTGTTTCATCAGTGGATATGGAGAGTTTTGCTGTAGTTATGGTAAGATTCCTCGGTTTGCTCTTCAGTTTTGATAGTTCATTTTTCTTCTCTTTTTAGTGTCCCCATCTCCTCGCATACCGATGTCTACATGAAGCAAAGAACATAATATGCATTATGAGAGCACCTTCTCAGCTTGTGTTCAGACCAACTGTGCTGCATAATAGCAAGCGATTAGGTCCTTAGAAATGCAATGAAAGATTTAGGTTTTGGAGGACTGAATCTACCCAATTTGAGTGGCCTGACATTGTTGATGTTTATTAGTAAATTGTCTAAGATGCTTACCTTTTCAAACCAGACTGTTACAGTCGACAATTGTATTTTGCTCTTCAAGATATTTTAACAATTTATGGTGGTTTCCCAGACAAGCTTGTCAAACGGGTATCCTGTGATTGTCATCAGAGGGCTATCAGATTTAGCTGGAGGACAGACAGGACAGAATGCAATCCAGACATTTGGAGCCTTAGCAGCTCGCAATGCTGCCCAAGCTGTTGTCAAATTTATCGGATATCTGTCTTAATACTAATCATCAACTAGCTTTCTCATATAATGTGTTACAACACTGCAAGTTCTTCCACAAAGAACATATCTTATACCCATCATTAAAACCAACTATCAGTTTATTTTATTGCCAGTTGGGAGTGACTTGCGTGATATATTTGTCCATAGCAGCTTAAGTACAATCTTATGAATAAGTTGAAAGTCGCAAAGATAATCCATCTTTTGGATCTCAAGACAAACAATCATAATTCCAGATTAGTTGAAGATAGAATCATGCATACATATCGAACTTCTCCCAAAGAGAACGTGCTAGCAACCAATCCTCAGGTGAGATCAACTGTATGCAGAACACGTAAAAAAAAAAATAAGGGTCTATTAGCATCAGTGAGAGCTGCCAAGGAATCAAAAGTTCAACATGGATTGAAGTAATACTCAGTAAAACGAGGAATGCTCATGACATCAAACAAACCTGTGCGAGCACGGTTGGAGAGTCCATACAACATTGATTGATCACTCCTCCAGCTTGCTTTAGAGGAAATCTGACAAAATCTGCCAACTGAGCAAAAACAAAGAGAGATTGAAATTCTCTTCGATGGAAGAAAATTAAGTAAAAGAGGATCCATTTAACATGAGAATTTACTCAGCATACCAAAGCAAGTAATACTAAGAATATCCATCTAAATCTCTCTTATCAAACAATTAGCCATAAGAAATACACAGAGAGTCAACGAAACAGACTCGGCCTGACAGAAAAGTTGTTGATGATACATGGCACCTGCAGACTCTTTTGCTACTGGAGATATGATACCACCACTCAACAGCCAATCTTCCATCTCTTCTTTGGAATCCATTTCCTCGTCATCCCCAAGACTACTTTGAGAGCTCGAGCCTGGCAAAAGCCTCTGCCTCACCTTCTCTGCTAGCATGACCATAACTCTTTAGCCTCCTTACACCTCAGAACATAAAGCCGCAGCCAAAACCAGAGCTATAAAACAACAACAGCTTAACTCAACACACTATACATAAGTCAAAACATAGCTATTGCAGTCCTGTTACAAAGCTAGACATTCAGTCAAATATTCACTTCTCACATAATCTAACCAGTGCAACAGCCTGTGTACATAAAATTTCATGTCAAGTTACCTCAACTGCTATTGTTAAATAGAACAAAAAATGTCCACAAGCTATAAGCTTTCGGGGGAAAAAAAAATGATAAAAGAAATTACCATAAGAGCATTCAAGTCTTGAAAATGCCTCTTGCAAGCTCTTATTCATCCCTTTCCAAATTGAACCATCCACGTAAGAAGAACCTAACACCTATTTTTGGGAACCATCTCACCTTGTCCTTGTGTTCAGTCCATAATTTGTTATTGCTAATCTAGTTGCCCCAGAATACATGACTGTTCTCCAATCAATTTATAACAAAGGTCTATCTCATTTTGATAGGTAAAGAATTACGTAATTTCTAATCAGAATTCTTGTAAACGTTTTTTTTCCCCCCCCATATAATGTCACAATCCTGAAATGATTTCATAGCTTAATGTTAATCGTTATGAAAGTAGGAATCCGTGAACGAAATTTATCGTTAGATACTTTTTTTTTTTTTTTTTTTTTTTTTTTTTTTAGGGGGTGCGGGGGCCGCCCTACCTACCTAGAATTCTTTTTTTAGATTAACGTGGGTGTCCGGGCCAGCTTACGCGCACCACGACTAATCCCACGGGCCCTGAAGTTAACGACCATGTAAGCCTCCAGTGGCCATCATATG